AGAATTTGAATATGGTTAATAGAAGACGTTAGTGAAGGTGCAGATGATGTTGTGGAGGTTTGAGATGATTGCGTGGTGCGTGAACGTGTTTCGGAGTTCTGCGTGGTACTCGACGGAGCTTTAGGTTCCTGCGTGGTGCTTGACGGTGCTACGGTTTCGTGCGTGGTCGCCGCTGAATTTATTCTAATTTTAACAGTGTTAACATTTTCAATTCTTTTTGTTCCACAATATGTTTTCAAGTATATGCACTTAAGCAGCTGAATGTTGGAAATTCAACTTACTTATCGGAACTTTGGGGGTGGTTATAGGTACTGGTGTAGTGGGCCTTGGACTTGGGAGTACACAACCTGCCGGTAAGCTTCCATCCGGTAATCTCTGACAATCACACATATTCAGAATTATTTTCTTGGTTAATTGTTGCATCTCATTCTGACTAAAATCGGTCATTTGCATGAAGAGATCCGGCGTTGGATACGAAAGTTGTTTGAGGTGTGTAGAGCCTGAAAGTAGAANTGTAGGACGGTTTTGAATCGTTTTCAATTCAAATTGATCTTATATAAGCAATCAGTATTGTTTATTGTGTTGTGAGAAGTAATATAAAGGCCCTATTGCATATTATAACATCAAAGGATTTGCTTATTATAACATCACGGGATCGAATTAAATATATGAACAATTTGGGCCACGAAATCGACATTGTTGAACGCTAGTAATTCTGCGACGGTGGTCTGTATACAGAAATGAATTGGGGTCCAAGTAGAAATCAGATCACGAAATCAAAAGATCCAGATCACTGACTAAACATGGATGGAGAAAGCAGTTAACTAAAGGTTCGATTCGATTAATGAATTGATCAATTTAAAAAAATATGAAATGAAAAAATTACAGAAAATATCATACCGCCGTCAATAGAAACCATGAAAATAGATTCTTGTCCAGCCATCGGACAAGATAACCACGGCTTCGAAGCTTTCAACGCTGCGTCAATTCCTGCCGCATCACTGCAATAAGTCTATTATGGGCGATATACTGGTCGGAACAGAAACTTTGACATTCCTGGATAATGAAGTGCTGATAGAGCTTGCACTATAATTCAATATCAGTGCATTGATATATTGTAAACATTGTTGT